CTACCACGGATTCCTTCATGGGCGAGTCCGACTCGCACTTGGTCACTTTTTTTGCTTGTCTATTTGTGCTTCGTTGACAATAAATTTGAAGTAAATCCTGTTACCACGCGAGCATATGACGAAAAATCTAATATTAATCGTTTGGAATACATTTTTTATTTATTAATACGTATTTATTATTGCAATTAACAATAGATAAGTGGCTAATAAAACGCACATCTACAGGTGCAGGTGGCGGAAGTCCTAATAACGCATCACAAATCAAAATAATTAAACACGTAGTTCTTGACAGCAGTGTTGCGTCAGATTCTACAATGACAACTACTGTTACAAGTAATATAAGTCGTGAAAAACAATGCCGCCACTTCAAGTACTAGTAGTGTTATTACTATCGATGAAAGCAGAGCAACATCTAGTTCCACTACTATAACTATTAGTTATAACAGCGATGATTGTAGCTCAACAGCCACATCTACCTTACACATCGATACAGAGAGTGACGCTTCAACTTTAACTAAACAAGCAACAGCTACATCGGAGACAACTGGGAAGCGTCTACGCATTTTTAAAGAATCGTACATCCAGTTTGGTTTTAAATGTACAGTGTTGAATTTTGAACAACGTCCACAGTGCGTTGTTTGTTCGGAGGTTTTGGCAAATGAGAGCATGAAGCCGGCCAAACTGAAAAGGCACCTAGAAACGAAGTATCCACAGTTAAAGAATAAGTAGCAAGTCGTTTAAAATAAGATGAATCTTATTTTAAACGACTTGCTACCAAGCTAACGTCACAGCTGGTTGATTTCCAAAAATACACAACAGTTAACCAAAAAGCCTTACAAGTATCTTTCTAGGTTTCCTTTTTGATTGCCAAAACTGAAAAACCTCACAACATTGGCGAGACGCTCATTTTGCCAGCTGCAATGAAAATGGTTTCGATCATGCAAGGAGAAAAGTTTGCCAATGTACTGAAAACAATTCCACTATCGAGTGACACTGTTCATCGTCGTATCAATCTACTTGCTGATGATATCAAATTACAACTTATAGATCGCGTGAAAGGGAGTCCCTATTATGCTATTCAGCTGGATGAAAGCACTGATGTAGCTAATGTAGCTCAACTTCTGATATTTATCCGATACCGATATGAAAACGACATATGCGAAGATTTGTTATTTTGTCAGGGATTAGAAGGAAGAACAACCGGTGAAGCAATTTTTAATGCAGTTAATACCTTTTTTGAACTCCATGACATAAAGTGGGAATATTGTGTATCTGTGTGTACAGACGGCGCAGCTGCATTGACCGGCTCCAAAACAGGATTCAAGGCAAAAGTAACTGAGATTGCACCTCACGTAGGCTTTGTTCACTGTATGATTCACCGTGAAGCCCTTGCAGCAAAACATTTGCAACCAGATGTAAATAAAGTGTTGGAACAAGTCGTAACAATAATAAATTTTGTTAAAGCTCGCGCATTAAACAGTCGCCTTTTCGAAATAATGTGTCGTGAAATGGGATCAGAATACGAAAATCTACTGTTAAATACGGAGATCAGGTGGTTATGGTGAGGAAAAATACTCCGACGTGTATTTGAACTCAAAGATGAAATCAGAATATTTCTACTTGAGCGGGAACCAAAGCTAGCGGAATATTTTTTGAATGAAATTTGGCTGGCAACAGTTGGCTATCTTTCTGATATTTTTGAAAAACTTAACAATTTAAATCAATCGTTGCAAGGGAAGCGTACAAATGTATTGATTTTAGCTAACAAAATAAAAGATTTCTAAAAAAATTTTCTGAAGAAAACAATATAAAGCTCGAAGAAAAAATTGAAACCAAAATCATGATGCATCTTACAAACCTTAAGCAAGACTTGGAAATAAGATTCCCAGATACGTCACACGGCGACCAATGGATATTTAATCTTGTGATCTTAACACTGTGAAGATGAACTTAAAAGAAAAGGAGCAGCTGATCGATTTAATGTCCGATAAAAGCCTTCGATCTATTTTCAAAACCACGAATCTATCCAAGTTCTGGACAAAGACGGAAAAGGAATATCCACTGTTATTTAAAACATCTCTGCTGAAATTTTTGCCATTCGCATCTACAAACCTTTGCGAGACAGCTTTCTCCACATTAACTGCTATAAATACAAAATATCGCTCCATACTTAACGTAAAACCTGATTTTAGGGTGACTGTTTTTGATAATATATCACCAAGAATTAATATACTGACTGCAAGTGTGCAAGCACAAGGTTCACATTAGTTTGTAAGGTTACGTATATGTAACTTTTTTTTTAAATAAAATATTAAAATAATTGCTTGTCTCATTTAATGCCATTATAAAGATTACTCGTATGTTAAATGCATATTTTCTAGTTTGCTTTAATATTACTTTCCAAAATAAATAAACTCTTCAATATAAATAATTTACAAAATAAAAACAGCTAACTTCGTTACCTGAACCAACCTTTGCACTTGTTAACTTAGTGATTTTTTTTTTCTTGGGTCGCTCATAACTCTTTTTTCAATTTTGGGGTCGCAATATCAAAAAGGTTGCGGACCGCTGGCGTAGATTGATTAAATTAACTTAATATTTCTGACTTTTTGAAGTCGTCGAATATATCTGACTTTCGAGTTTTAGTCGAGGTCGAGCTGAGTCGGTTCGAGATCGATTCGCCTTGAGATCGAGCGCAAGCTACTAACGAATAATGAAAAGAAATCCGCCAAAATTGCCCCAGTCCCGGCGCAAAAGAATTGTATCTCAGATTTTAGATAATTATTAGTAGAAACAATATCAGGTGTCGCTATTTCCTCATTCGGTGGCTATCATGTTTTTATTAGACAGAGAAGTTTCATAGGCGCTACATGCAAAAATACATTGAATTGGCAAAAAATGAATAAAACACATAATTAATAATAAAAATTTAATAATTTATTTATTCGTGCAACTAATACAAAAAGAGAAAACACTTAATGGAATCACATTTATAAAATTGGAAGAGGTAAGGTACGACATTTTGATCCTGTGCTAGGTTACCCTGTGTTACAGAAGTCAGTGCCCTTCACATTTTTACATGTAATCCAAAATTTCACTGCCATATTCTATTTCAAATGCGATCTTATTTATTCTTAAGTACTAAAATAATAAAGTGTGTGTGTGTGTGTGTGTGTGTGTGTCCATATGTGTGTGTGTGTTACTTCATTGTATCTAGAATTTGTTCAGTAGCATCATAATTTAGTTCAATCATGAAACTAGTTATATAATTTTTCATTCTGTAAGTCTTAAACTTACGTATGACTTCAAAATCATATATAAGTATTACTTTTTTGTATAAGCGCGGGCCTATCACATTATAATGACATCTAGCGAATTCTGTGCGTGTTTTAGCTATCGGACAATTATTTCGTCTTTTACAAGAGATAGGTAACGTCGGTACTATTTCCCTATGGTATCTTAGTAAAACGCATTTGTAAAACAGTTGGCGTACAGTTAATACTCCACATCTCTGGTACAAAGCATGCGATGGATATTTAAATGGTAGGCTGGCAAGAACTTTTAGCACGCTTCTTTGTGCCCTTAGCAAAGACATATATGTTAGGCTTAGACCTAACTGTGTGTCTTTGCTGCACCTCCTCATGTTGCGATACAGTACGTAATACAACTATACAAATACGTAAAGGTCCTCTTCAGTCTCACCAATGACGTTTAAAGTGTTCATTGCCAGAGTTTTACCAATACATGTAAAGTAGGCGTTTAACTCGTTTAAGTAAACCTAATGTGCACAAAAAAGATACACTATCTTTTTTGTGCACATTAGGTTTACTTAATAGCTCAATAGGTTGGCTTTTAGGCATTTTTAAATTTTTAAATTTTCATTTTTAAATAAATAATTGATATCGCCACGACGTTTTTCTATCAAATTCCTAAAATATCTTCTTTTTTCTGATTTTATTATTCCATTACACGTATTTCTGTAATGTTTGTATTCACGCATCATACCTTCGTAATTCGGGTTTCTTTTTAATTTTCTGTGCAGTTTATCCCTTTTTCCCATGCAGTTTAGCAGACCCACAGTTATCCAAGGTTTTAGAGGTCGCTTTTTTTTTGGCACATCGCTGACAGTTGTGTACTTCGTAACAATATCTTGTAGGATATTTACTAAAATTTCGGCTGCATTATTACAGTCTTTTGCTGCAAAGTAACTGTCCCATGATATCTCTTTAATTTCTTGCTGAATTCTTTGGTATTGAATTTTGACTTTTTTACCTATTGAGTCATTTGTTTTTCTAAAAGCACTGAAATCAACATGAAGAAGAATAGGGCAGTGGTCAGTGAATTCATTGAAAACAATGTTTTGTGCTTGTCCACTGGTTTTTATCATAATGGTCTAAACAAGCAGTTTTTTGTGTAGGTATGTTAACTCCCGTTAATAGTCCGTGTACTGCCAATAAATTGAGGTATTGAGAGATATTGTCATTTTCGCTCAGAATATCCAGATTAATATCTCCTGTGAGTATCACATTAGCACTTTTAATGTTATTAAGTACTGTGTCTAGGGAGTCAAGAAAGTTTTTAACGTTTTGAAAACTCGGGGGCCTATAAATGCATAAAACACTAATATTGTGGCCCACCTCAACAATTAGATAGTTGCCGTCATTAAAATCGGGTTCAATGGTAGTTACAATTAAGTTAATTTTCGTATATACTATTACCCCATCATTCTGATTGATTTGATTTTTAGTGTAGTAAACGTTGTAGCCCTCAAGAGCAGGTGGTTTATAAAAGTCATTAATCCAACATTCGGTAAGGACTACTATGTCTATGTTTATGTCAAACCGAGATAAGTATACACATTATCACATATAATATGTAATGTAATGTACCTATACCTATGCCATTTTTTTCTGTTTATATAATAAGTACATATGCCTACACACTGATGGAGATAATGATGAGGGCATTAAATTTCATTTTTCGCCCGCTTATTCCCCTCACTGGAGGGGGTTGAACGAGGCTGGAATCCGTTCAGCAAAGTAGTTAATGAAATGCGTAATAGGAAACGCGAATCTTACGTTTGAGGAGCTTACGAAACTGTTCATTCAGATCGAAGCGATCCTAAATTCCCGCCCGTTAACTCCTCTAACGTCAGACCCATCTGATATGACTCCTCTGACTCCAGGGCACTTCCTCATAGGCCGGCCGCTGACTGCTTTACCAGAACGACCTATTGTTACGAATTGTCCAAACAGATATCAAAGATTGGAACAGATTAAACAGCACTTCTGGAACCGGTTCCATAAAGAATATTTAAGCGAGCTGCAGCAACGCACTAAGTGGCGAGAGCAGAGGAAAACGCTCAAAGAGGGCGATCTTGTCGTCATCAAGGACGACAACCTTCCCCCCATGCGATGGCGCTTGGGACGAGTTAAGAGACTGTACCCAGGGGCTGACGGCATCACCCGAGTAGCCGATTTCACAACTGCACGTGGCGTAATCCAGAGGGCCTTAGGCCGGGTCTGCCTTCTCCCAGCTACGAACCCAGAGGACGAGTCTCTTGGTAACCAGGGTTCCCAAGGCGGGGAGCCTGTTCAAGCGCACGGCACGTGATCTGCACCAGCGGCGGCGGGGCGCGGGCTGCGGGGCGCGGGCGGCGCGGCACCGGGAACGAGACTGCTACCGAGACTTCAACCGATTGAACGGAGCTACAGCGGTCGCACGGCGTGCGACACGCTTTCATAATATTTCTTTTAAATACACACTTTTACTGTCCAGGTTGTTTGATTGCTGCAATTCTACATCAGCCAAATCAGCTCCCGGACAGGCTAATAAAATGAATGCTTCGCCGATCATTGACGTACCAAACCAAAGAAAAAAAATGTCACGCCTTCAATGTCAGCATACCATTAGACAATGAGTAGCATTGAAATGAATAAGACTATCATCATACTCGACGAACAAATACAAAATATTAAAGCAAACATGAAGACAGAAGACTCGTTTTCATCCCACGATATTCATCACTTCTCCATCAGCTATGGGCTAGTTGCAGTAGTCGGCCTTGCGGCAGTTGTCTGGGTGGGCAGAAGATACAAGCAAATACGTCAGCAACGAGCAAACGCGATGGCCAAGCAAGAATGTCCACCACGAGGGTCGCCTGACAGTGCTAGAGTGGTGTAGTGTTACCACGAAAGTAGAGCACAGCTGACCGTCCGCTTAGTGATAGTGATAAATGCGGCATTGAGTTTCACAATGTTAGTGCGCGGCCCCATACCAAGGTCACTCGCTGGACTAGTGTAATTCAAAGTGCGCGTAAACAGGACAAAGCCACTTCCTCTATAATTCATAAGCGAATATCAGACTCTCTAGTATAAGATTGTAAACTTTAAGTTAATTGTTTTGTAATTTGATAAGTATCATCATTCATTTTTCAATTTGTCATGTATCTATCAATCATTACGATTCATTTTATCTCTCGCCAGGGAGAATGTTCGGTTCACTATTGAACCATATGGCTTTGTTTGCACTTTTGACCTAAAGTCCATCAATACGTTGTAAACATTAAAATATACCGCGACAATCAATCAGTTCACGTTCGGTCATCAGGCTAACCACGCGTTCTCAATATTATCATACCTAATTATCATATCATAAATAACATTATCAGTAACATTTTAAATATATCAATATTGTAATAAAGTGTTCTTATTAGTAATATTATCATTTATATCATCATAACCGGTGTTAGGAGTTAGCCCCAACAAATACAAAGTAGGCGTCATATTCGAAAAGCCCTCTTTTGCAAATGCTTCACTTTCTAATAAGAAATTCTTAGACGCACACGGCCTGATAGCCACAATACCGGGTTCAGCCACGGGCAATTGCCAGCACAAAAAATATTGGTTGTGTACGCAGATTCATGCGACGTACCAAAATTGATGACAAATTTGTTTTACAGCCGATACGAAGTCGATATCCTGACTTTTTCCTGTCCCATCCTTCCCGACAGCGTCGACCTGAATAGCTGGCGCTTCGAGGTGAGGCCGTACATCCTACCAGTTAAGCAGTGTTTGAAAAGCTTCAGGTATGGACATATTGCAAAATTCTGTCAAAATTCATATCGCTGCTCTATCTGCGGTGAGAATCATAACTACAAATTGTAGGAACCACTAAGTAAGAATAACGCGCTGTATAATACAGCTGCGCGTATGACTGTACTTGCCTATACGGTCGGCGCGATGACCAGCGGCGCGGACGCAGGAGACATCAGTCGGCTGCACTACATCACGGCGAATGCACGCTCTGTTTCCGCTCAGTACGGCCCGCTATACGCTCGCGCAATTGCTTTTTAACTTTCCTTTGTGTGTTAAAGTATTCTTTTCTGTCGCCTTCGCTTTGCTAACTTCTGTACCGTATCTTCCTAATCAATTTATTCATCGTTTGTTAACGTGAATCTATAATACTTGTAATAATATTAATTAGTGTGCAGTACCGTGTTTGAATTAATAACCCGGTAGGGCACATATATTGGTGACCCCGATAGGAACACGCGACACGTCCCTCATTTGACCGCTACGTCCGCGACCACGTTCAATTTTGAAAGTCAACCGTCGCACCGCCGCACAAGAAGAAAAAAAAATGACGGAAGTTAATAAAGTAGGAGTCCGTATTCCTCCTTTTTGGCCAAAAGACCCAGAAGTTTGGTTCGCCCAAATTGAGGGACAGTTTATAATTGCCGGAATTACTGTAGATTCGACGAAATTTTACTATATTACGTCAAATTTGGAACCGCAATACGCACAACATGTGTCGGACATCATTAATAAACCACCTGCAGAAGGTAAATATGAGAAATTAAAAACAGAGCTAATAAAAAGATTTTCCAATTCTCAGAAAGCCAAAGTAAAGCAACTTCTCAACGATGCGGTGCTCGGAGACCGAAAACCGTCAGAATTTTTACGCCACCTGCAGAAGCTAGCCGGTCCAGCTGTTCCAGACGAATTTATGAGGACATTATGGGCAGGTCGGTTACCTACGCATATTCAAACCGCAGTAAAATCAAAAATATATTTATTCACATAGACGCTTGCGCGTTCTTATGAAATGTCAAAAATTTTTCATAAAAATTAATACGTTCGTAAGTTACCATCGGTTCGGAAAGCATTTACTGTTGAGAAGAAACCGGCAAGAAACTCAACAGTTACTCTTTTTTAAAACGATTATTTTACAATATAAGAGAACAAGTATGTCATTTTAGCCTACCTGAGTATCAACAGTATTAACCCCACACCCTGGCGTCGTCAAGATATTCCGCAATGGTATCTCCACCTCGTGTTTTTCGACTGCTGACAGCTATGAACTTCGAGGCTAATGTTACTGCGTCAGGCCACAATATCTCTGGCTGGACTATATTTAGTACAATTGACCTCGTAAAGGCCTATCAACAAATACCTGTTGCGCCTGAGGATATTTGCAAAACCGCCATAATTACACCCTTCGGGCTATATGAATTTCATTACATGAGGTATGGCCTGCGCAATGCTGGCCAAACATTTCAAAGATTCATTGATGAAGTTACCCAGGGACTTGATTTTTGCTTTGTGTATATCGACGTTATTTTGGTGTATTCGAAAAGGGCCCGTCAGCATGCCGATCACCTCCGTATTCTCTTCAAACTTCTTGAAGATCACGGAATTGTTATAAATCCGGCGAAATGCTTATTTGGTGTTCCCGAGGTGACCTTTCTCGATAACCACATTTCTGCGTTGGGACCAAGACCACCAACAGAGCGTATTCAGGCACTGCAAGATTTCCCTCTTCCGAAGACCGTACAAGGACTCCGCCGTTTTATAGGGATGGTCAACTATTGTCGCCGATTTTTGCGAAATGCTGCAGAATTGCAAGCACCGCTCATCGACGCAATCGTGGCTTCCCAAGGCAAAGGTCCCACACCAGTTACTTGGACACCTGAGCTCGAAGAAAGTTTCAAGGCTTGTGAAGACAGCTTAACATCTGCTGCTCTTCTGGCCCATCCCCTTCCAAACGCTGAATTAGGTCTCTTCACAGTCGCCTCCAATTCTCACGTCGGTGCTTGCCTTCAGCAGAAAGTAGGAGATGCCCGGGAACCCTTAGGTTTCTTCAGCAAAAAGCTGAAACCTAAACAATCCCAATGGCCAGCTTACTACAGAGAGTTACTTGCTGCTTAAGAGAGCGTGCAGCATTATCGACATTTTCTCACTGCGCAGCACGTTAAAATTTACACGGATCACAAGCCGCTAGTGTACGCGTTTACGGAACGTCGCGAGAGGCGTTCAGCTCAACCAACTTTCTATCGTCTCTCAATTCACGACGGAGATTGTCCATGTGAAGGGGACAGACAACACGGTGGCGGACGCCATATCCCGCATCGAAGCCATCGGCTTCGAAGCCCTCGCCGCTTGCCAAAAACTCGACATTGAATTGAAGAAGTATCGCAACGATACAAATTCTTCTCTTAAGCTAGAGGATATCATCGTTCCTGGCACTAAATCATCTCTGGTCTGTGACACGTCCACCGGACGCCCGCGACCGTTTGTCCTGGAACCTATGCGGAAGAAGATCTTTGCCCAGCTGCATAACCTTAGCCATCCCGGCGCCCGAGCCGCAATACGACTGGTATCCCACGACTGCCGCAGATGGTGCAAAACGTGTGTGCATTGCCAAAGAAGCAAAGTAACACGGCATACACAATCTCCGTCCGGACACTTCCAGCCCCACGTCTCGACAAAAACATGTCCATATTATATTAATTTCTTTAAAAATATATTTGAGAGTATTCCGGGCATCGATGTTATAGATTGCTCGGACAGCTCTTTTTTGAAGAATGAATATAGAATTTATATCACTACCCCACAACAAAAGTAAACAAGTCGGGCAGTGTCGATGTCTGTTAGCTGTCTAACCTTCCTAATCGCAAAAACAGCGGAGCTTAGCCTACTCGCTAGAGATGATAGATGGGGACTCCACTGAAGCTTTGAATCTACTGTAATCCCCAAAAAAACTGCAGACTCAATCCTGTTGTTGAGGGATACTTTATTTAATAATAAACTTAAACTTTGCCTTCTTACACTAGGAAGAGTAAAAAGAATACATTTAGTTTTTTTGGCATTAAATACCATATTATTTATGGTGAACCAGTGAAGGTTATGCGAAAGTGCACCATTTACGTCGTCATAATTTGATAAATTTCGGTCAACCTTAAAGATGAGTGATGTATCGTCAGCAAACAGTACAACATCACAAAAATCATTTATATATACTAGAAATAAAAATGGGCCCAAGATTGATCCTTGTGGGACAAACATTTTCATGGAGGACCCTGCGGAATTAACATCATTTATAGATACTTTTTGTGTTCTATTACTAAGGTAAGAGGTGATGAGATTGAGGGCGCTGTCACGAAAGCCATGACAATATAGCTTGCGAAGAAGGGTTTTGAAAGGTCACAAAAGACCAGCTAAAAAAGAAAGGATTGAAGAAATAAAAAAGAAAATATTAAAGAAACAAGACTTATTCAGATGCACTTAAAGATAACTCATTTCCTTCTTTAGGTAAAACAAAATACAATCAATCAGAGAAATTTATGGCTCTACTTAATTCTGATCAAATTTTGAATGCACTTTTGCATGCAATTATTAAAATAATTACAGAAAATAAAATAAACGACAAAAGTATCTGCACTGAAAATATTAAAGCTGTAACATTAGACACTCTCGAAATCGGATCCGGAAGTGCTGTAATCAGTTCGCCAGCATATAAATACAGTCCCACTTAAAAGTCATTTACGCGCTCATACAAGTCGTGAGTTTATAGATGGCGGACTAACCTTGGCAGCCTTACATCGTGATTATGAACGCCAACGCAGAAGTGCAGGTCAAGAAGCTGCTATATTGTACATGTACAGCCAGATTTTTAACAAGGCATTTTTTGCGAACCTTACAAAAATTCAGCTGTTAAGAAAACAGAACTAGAACAACAATACTTAAAACATCAAAGAGAAAAGATATTAAGTCGTGCAGAAAAAGCGACATTCATTGTCCTTTCCACCAATGAGAACCAGGGAGTAAAGTTATAGTAGCGATATATGACTTATAAGCACAGCTACCTGTGCCCATCGGTACCTCTTCAGCGTTTTACTA